CTGAACTGTCTTAAGATCCTCGTATCTTCATTCATCTGCGATTTTTATCTGCTGTGACGGTCATCCTTTTAGCTCTATATAGCACTCTATATAATGTGGATTATAGAATTGAACTAAAGTAATGGCTGAAGCACAACAATGCACAGAAAAGTAGATACTTTGTGTCTGGCATAACTTAACCTTTCCCAAGCAAAAAGGGGATAGGTATAACGTCTTTAAGCATAAAAGCTGCTACCACACTACTGGGAATTGGTTGCCAAAACATCGTTCAAAAACACACAAAGAGTTCGAGTACAAGTTCTCTGTAGATTTATAACTGGTGGGAAATCTGTGTAAGCTTTGCCTCAGGACAAAACCATTAGGCCACCTCAGGGGCTGTATCGTTCACGTTTGAGACAAAAGTTCTTAGTCTAAAGTCTGAGGGATAGTCTGCCTGTTCTTCACGCATATTTTCGACGTAAATCACACAATAGACCAAGTGTGTTGGAATTTGTTACGTTTCTCATGCGTTATTAATGATATCAACAATGTGCAACACGTTAAAGCCCTACAAATCTCGGTCTGTAAACCTGTATCAGCTGTACATCACGCATATCGATGGCACACACTGCGAACAAAGGGGGCGAAATAAATTATTCACCTCGTCATTTCAAACTTTCCGCTTCAACTCTAATCTCAGGTTAACGAGTTTGTGTATACGTGTTTTGGTTTTCTTTCAATTTCTTACTTTTTATTTACTACAACTACAGCGCGAAAAGTTAGATTTATTGAATGTTAGCTAATGCACCATGTACTTGTCAACTCCAACACGTTCTGTTGTGAACTGCACTTAGGCTAATGTGGCAAAATGTGCGACAAATGTCTTCATAAACACGATGAAGCCAACTGTAGCCTTTGATGTTCACACCGCGCCGACCACACATCATTTAAGTCTTGAGGAACTGTTACAAACTGCACTTAAGTCTAAGAAGTCGCGCAAATTATTAACCTACCTGTCTGTCCGACGCCTGCGCAAGGTCGGACCAACCGGACCGTGCCCTCTGGTCGCCAACAAAAGTTATATCCATGCAGATCTTTTGGTGGCTGCAAGAGTCGGTACCAAATCAGTAAGGCAGTATCATTGACAGGGCAGTATTACCTGGTGAAAACAGATACCAGTACAAAATAAGAAATTCCTAATACGCCTAAAAACACGTCCAAAATACTAGTAAGCCAACACGTAAACCTGTTTTTGAAGAATACACAAAGCGTCAGTTTTGCAGGACGGGCCTTGACCTGGCGGCTAAAGATGACACACTTCGCCTCATGTCGTCCTGCAACCTGCCGATTAGACAACCTGGAGACGTGGAAGGGAATCTGTAGTTAACGTGAACACCATGTTACCTGTACCAGAAATTTAGAAACACTAATGGTATTTTTAAAGACAAGTAGAGTAAAATATGTCTTAGTCACAGTAGACATGTGGTCGATACAGACAGTATTCATAATCCTTGGGTCAATGGCTAAAATACTAGTAATCTGTGGGGCCAGCAAAAATGGCCAGGTGGTCGTTATGTAGAGGTGGCCACTAATACAGATATAACTGTATCTCCAGTATACTAGTATAACTACATATGCAAAGACCCCATATAGATCTAACATAGAGCATAACTTCCTCCTACTAGTATCGTGCCTTACACCTGAGTGCATAGTTAGTGACTATCGAATACAACATGAACATGCCACATGCCCGGTGAGATATTTGAGTTTAATGCCTGAGACTTGAGTTTAATGGCTGGTCTTATAATCCGTTAAAAGGTCTTTGTCGTTGATGGTTATTAGCGGGACCTAAAGGCGCCGGAAATTATGGGCCTGAGTCCGAACTGTTGTAAAGTTAATTATTGGGTTGTGAGTCTTTTAACATAATTTGGATTTATGGGGTCCTTTTTGACATAAGCCAGATATAGCACAGTTTTAGATGAGTGTTTCTCTCTAGGCTCTCTCTCTCTCTGTGTGTGTGTGTGTGTGTGTGTGTGTGTATGTCACAGTGTGTGTGGTGCGCAAGTGTATGTGTATGTTTGTGCGCGCGCGTGTGTGTGGGTCTGTGTAAGTGTATAAGTTTATGCGCTGAGACGACGTTCTTTACTTCAAATCAGTGTTTTGAACTTTGGGTCAACAGTTAACTACTTATATTTTGTGTTCATGCAAAGATTGAAATCACAAAACAGTTTTAACCTTACTACTGTGCTAGTACAAACTACAAAACGATTCCTTGACACTGTACGATTTTACCGAAGACTGAACCTGTACCTATCATTAGGATGTCCGCTCGCGACGGAGAGCCTTTTGGTCAGATGAATTCTGCATTACACGTAAGACGCGAACATTGTGCAGGGCGTGATGGAGACACAATCTCGTCTGCCCGAGCTGTCAATCACAGCCAGGGCGGGGGAACGCGAGTTCGGCGGTTCGATCTCATAATTGCCGTCTTCACGCAATGTGTCAGAAGAGATTTAGGAGAAGGCAGGGTTGAGTATTACCAGGCGCAGCTCGGACTTTCAAGTCTTCGGCTAATGTTTTCGCCCCCGAGCGATGTCCAGGCAGCCAGACGAGTTAGTAAAAACCGTGCCCAACTTGTAAACAGAAATGAAAATACGGTATATTTAAGTTCAGTCTACGCGCCATTGTAGATGGTGGCCTTGAAGTCGGGTTCTTGTCTTCTTGACGTCGTAAAAAAGATTTTTTTTAAGCTTAAGCAAGGTGTATGTCGTATCTACACTACCACCGAAAAGTTACAATCTTAATAGTTTCTAGACTGATTAAGTTTTGTAAGGTCCTGATGTAGTTAGGTAGCCTGCAAGTCTGAGCGTTAACTACTGGTAACTTAGGATGGCATGTCGGTGAGTTAGGCAGAATTTGGGCTCCGTCCAAACACACACAGCACAGACTGTATCTGCATGTCTGGGCTGTCATTCTGCCTTTTGTGTTTCTTTTTATACGGACTGAGGAACAAGGGTAGTTGTTAAAACTGCCAGAAGACATCCCCGCTGTGGTTATGACTGTGATTACATGTGCCGGCTCAGAGTCCGGGCCTAATGACAGGGTATGGGTGCAAGTGTCTGGATACACACCCACAACAAGGTAGCTCGGCCTTTTACCTGAGTTTGCCTGAATCATGGAGGTAGACCTCCATGCCTGACTTATGGTAACTATTCCCTCTCGGGCCGGCTTAGGGGTGTTTTACCAACTCACATGCTTTTTTCTGACAGCGTAAGACAACACAAGAAACCGATAAAAGCACATTAATACAGAGCTCCCCCAAAAAACTACGGGCCCAGTCGCAGAGTCTGCTAACGAGGCTAATTTTCTGACTGCCTATCTTTCCAACCTCCTGATTACTAGTACTGTCCCGTTCATATATCCAGCTATCCTGAATACTTCCTTGGCTTTGATAACAGTGCATTACGTTAGCAGCTCCCCCGAGAAGAGAAGTTGTTGGGGGTACCTTACTACCTACCTCCATAGCCTGGCTCACGCCCCTTGCGGCCCTGCCCACTGACCGGCTCGGGGAGGGGCCAGATTAGCCCCGGGAGTGTGAGATTTTGAACACAGGGTACTTACCAACGGTGGGGACCAAAGCGTCGTCGTCACTTGCTTATCATCTCCATGATTCATGAATGTGCCATATGCCACGCTGTCACTGATTTCCTTGTGTTCTGTGAAAACTACTGGATAAAAGATGCTACTTTGTCCGTTTCTTATTCTGTTTCTGTTACTAGTACTTTCGTCCAAATATGTCTGTAATTTTGTTTCGCGTTGCTTTGGACGGGCTCTGTGCAAGAGTCGCGGCGTGAAAAGTAGCCGTTTTAGGCATTTTATGCTTTTCTGGCGTTACAATAGATTTCCCTCGATTTTTGTATTACAAGCTTTTTAATTTTTTTTTCAGTTTTCGCAACTTGCATTTAGTTCCTACAACCACCTGTTGGAGTCTCAGAAAAACGGGGCAGCTAGAGAATCCAGAAAACGGCGTTTTTACCGGACTTACTTTTTTTTGTAACCTGCCAATTTGATCTTCCCAATTTGATACTGTCTTCTCAATTCAATACTGTCTTCTCATTTGATTCTGTCTTCCCAATTTGATACTGTCTTACCAAGGGTCCTTGGTCTTGCCAATTTGATTCTGTCTTGTCAATTTCATACTGTCTTGTAGCCACCAAAAGATCTGCTTGGTGATTACCGTTCCAACATCTGCTTGAGTGTTGGACCAGTCCCAGCAGACATACGTCACGAGCCAGGTTAACGATCCCTGCCGTTTGTTTCGTTATCTCCCCGCTGTTTGCCGGGCGCTGTTTGCCGGGCTGTGTGCGTTACGCGCCACGTGACCTCCTCCGACACACGGCACAATAGCGCACGTGCCGGCATGGTACAACTCCTCCCATTGGTCGCGCGGACACGCTTACACACGTGGGGCGATGGAACGGCGACGGTCATTGGTCGCGTGAGCAACAGGTATGAAGTATGTATTAGTAATTTATCAGGGAAAGTTCGGTAGTGTTTGGGGGTCTTTGGCTAGTAGTAAGGTTTTTGTGTCTTTCCTGTTGGAAATACTTATTTGTCTTCACAATGCCTTGGTTTGATGTAGGATGACAGCAGACAATTATCAATAAATGTCTTCTTTTTCTCTTTCTCTCCTTTATAAGGTGTCTAGATACTAGTAAATTACCAATCTACTAATACTTAAACATACAGTTGTAGATATATAGAGTTTCTTATGCAATTGAAAAACAACAGGATCGATCTTTCACTTGTCTGTGAAACGTTTTGTTTTTCTTTGAGCTTTGTAGACAACTTTTAGAACAGATGACAAATGATAAGATTCTCTTCTACAAGACATCCCTTGGACTGTCTCTGACAAGACCTTGTTTGGTGAGAAACGAGAAAGAAAAGGACCTCAGTGTCTATCTGGTTGATTCCAACATTTGAATCGTTACCTGTTGGACTGAAATATCTGGAAGAAAAACTGTCAATGCTGTAGTGTCAACTGCACGACGTCCTGAACATACCTGTACGGAAAGGTTATTTCTCAGTCAATAACTAGAACGTCCTTGATATCGCTGTGTAAACTGACCCCTTGGGATTGGAACCCGCGACCCCCTGACCCGTGCATACCGGACGGTCCCCGTGCGGACAATAGGCGTGTGTTGGAGCGTGGCGTGTGTGGGTCTGGCCTCGGGCGCTCATCTCAGGCAGGCGGCCGGCCACTCGCCCCGCGCCCGCAGTCACGTCCGTCCGCAGCGCCCGCCCAGCCGCGCGTACCTCAGCCCCGACCGTCACACCGCCGCACGCCCGCGGAGCTCCCCTCGCGGTCCGGCACCATGAACTCTCCACAGTCCGCCGCCGGAGACTCCTGCCCCGACAGGTACAGCCCAGACGTGTAGACTATTTCTCTCTCTCAAAATCACGTCTTATACCAGTTCCAGTATACCGCCAGAGAACAACCGATCGTACAGAGATTGTATTGTTGTCCCGGCGGCCGTACGTACGGCGTAGGCAGTAGTTTACATACAGCGGTAGCGCCCGCCGATCTGCATGAGAATGTGCGAGCGTCTGTCCCGTACTGACCGCCTGCCTTTGTCCCTCCTCCACAGCCCACCGGGCCCTGCTCGGCAGCGAGACGGCAGCAGGACGCCAGCAGACCCCGCAGACATGGACAGGCACAGACGGAAGCGGAAGGCCGGGGTGAGTCCACGTCTTATAGACTCTTTCCTTTAAGAAACGTAGTCTCTACCAGACTAACTACGCTGGCTATATATTATAGGAGAATATTTGCCAGGGGAGTTTGGCCGCCTTTGGGGTTTGACTGTCCGCCTTCAGAGTGGGAAATTAACCTTCTCGCGGACTGACTCTCCTGGCCAACTATTTTCCCAATTTTACCGAATTCTAGGATCCGTACCCCCGTAGGAAGGCCAGGTGGAGAAACGTGTGTGTGTGTGTGGTTGTGAAAAAGTTTGTATTGGCTGTGTACAGCACACCTGTAGGCTGTGCTGTGATTTACCGTACAGCAGTAAGGGACAGATGTGTGATTGTGGGTCGGAGTGGATTATGCCGTCCCATGGGGGGCAGATGGTCCGATCATTCCGGGTGTCTGAAGTTGAAGAACCGACGGGCACTCCGTACCTGTACGTACAGGGGACTGCGTTACAAAGGTGTTCCCTCACCTGAAGGAACGTGGTCTTGTTGGCGGTCTGTTTTGGCTTCCTCGGAGAGTTGGCTTGTTCCAACTTCTGTTGGTTGAAAGACGGAAAGGAGAATATACAACAAAGGCGATTTTTAAATCTCAAACCACAAAGTCGACGAAAGGTAATTAACCCACAGTCGGTCTAATATTGATAATAAAACTAGAACGGCAGTTGTATCGTGGTTTTACCGATCACTGAGAAGGCATGTTTGGTAAAGTTACAACAGATTTTCAGAAATGGGAACGCCAGTTTCGGAGGTGGATTTAGTATTTTGCATATTTATAAGTTAGCTGGGCTTTATTCAGTGCAGAACGCCTTTCGTCCTTTTCAAAGACACATGTTGGTACTAGGCGTTTGTCAAGGAAGTCTAGAATTTGGGTCCACCTTTTCGAATGGCGGTGCTACCTGTAATTCACACCTCGTTAAGAAAACAGTTTTTTCCTCAGAAGATGAAGCCAAAGAAGTAGACCCATGTGGGAAAGGAGGTTATAGTGGGGGTTAATTAAACCTCTAGTCTCCACCAGACTCCTCTGCAGGCTGAATACATTGTAGAAATCAGCCTAAAAAGGAATGTAGCTGGCCAAGGGGAGGTAGCCGGCCATAGAGGGTGCCATACAGGCCGATTTCTACTACTAGTATGCATTCAGCCTGCAAAGGAGTCTGGTGGAGACTATTGTACTTCTAGCCCACGTTATTACATTGTCGCGTCGCACCGTTTCTGTGTTAAGTGCCACGGTAAGTACCGTATGGAGTATAGGAGTGGGCGGTCGGCAGATCGGACAGATTACTCCTTCCCGAGTTGTGGAAGGTTCTATCAATGATTGACACACGGGCGGCACGACCTCTTACATGTACTACCGGTGCGCTAGCGCTGAGGAAGGCTCCAAGCAGATATTGGGTGGGGGTTGTAATGTTTTATTCGTGTCGTCCAGTTTCAGAAGTTTATGTTTTCGGTAGCGTTCGTGTGTGTGTCCGTCCGACTGTGCGTGTGTCAATACGATAGTTCGAGAAGGCTTAGATGGATTATTTGGTATGGGGGTAGGTCTTCATGGGACCTCGACATGGTTTAATTTTGACATGAAGCTGGTAGAATTGTGAACTCAGAAAAAAGGACGGCCGGAAAATGTTGAGATTTTCCCTCCCATAATCTACATAGAGAATACTTAACTAGCGGAAAGGAGGCTTTCATCTTCTATTGTTCTGAAATTCAATTGTTGAACTTCAGGACAAGAAAATTTGTCTTAACGCGAATTCTTTTATTTGTTGATTCGTGGTTTGTCCCTATAGTTCTTAGACAACAATTTTACAATTGCAAATTTAGTGTCGACGTTGCACTGTGCTGATGTTCAATAGCGGCAAGCTCGGAATAAGTTACGATTTAGCCTCCCAACATCTGCTTGGAGATTAACCGAAAAGAACGCAAAATAAACTCGGTAAGTAGGATGTTGCGAATATTAGTGGTGAACACCACAGAATCGCCAGACTTGTTTGATAGAAGCTTCCACGACTACGTTTTCTTTCGCTTTTATAATGCACCGTTTCTTCCGGGTCGGCACTGGAACGCGATGAAAAATAAAAACGCATTATAAAGGCTTTTAGATCTTGCTAAGGTGGCTAAGAATTGTCTAGATCCACCTTAAGACCATTCCCAGGTCCCATCAGCTGGCGGCAAGTCCCGTCGTTCCCGGTAGCGGGGTTCTTAAGCCCTTAATTCGCCAGATCTTGTCGGAAAAGACAACAAGACGGGATCCCTTAATCCCTCCACCAGCGATGTCGGTGTGTCTAAAGCGATAACAGACCGCTTCCCTGCAACATCAGGGACAAACAGTAAACAGTTGTAAGTACGAGCACTGATAATCATCAGTAATCAGACATCTCATGCATTTGCTGAAATCACGGATAAGTCGAACAAGAGCCTTCCGACCTTCTCCAGACCATGGTTGGGAATTAGTCGTAAACAAGGCCATCTGTGGTTGGGAGTTGGTCGTCGAGGTTGCCTATTACTAGTAGTTTTGAAAAGTCGTCTTCGACAGTCGACTATGAATTTTGAGATTTTGGAAATCAAATTCTGCTTGGATGCGATCAGAGGAGCGAACTAGAGCTAGAAAAGGATGGATTCGACTAACAATGAAAATAGTGAAAGTCTTTCCAGAAATAGAAAGTTGCCAAGACGCGCGTGACAAACAAAGACCTTCTCCTCAGCTGACCCCGTGCTTCTATATCTGTGGCAAAAATTGTGGCGATTTCCTTATTATTTAGACAATCCTGTTATTCTTGTGACAATCCTGTGATTCTAACCGCCTCGCTCCGTACCACATTGTTACGCTATGACGACCCTGACTTATCATTAAGTCGTATATTACTGTATACGTCTAAAACCGATGTGACTCGTGTTAGCCGCCGGCAAGCGGAGCACAATAGTAGCGTGTGGGTAGAAAAACAGACGTTGGGCGATGTTGAGAAGCAGACACGTCACTAACCTGATTAAACCGCGCTTCGTGCAACCCTCCCGCTGGTAAGGCAGTCCGTGCGCAGTCATTGACAGTGCTGGTGAGAATTTAAGGTGAAAACAGGCTACTAACGTCACTTACATCGTCATTCGTCATTCCATAAATTATCATTTTGGCGTTGAATAGGCAATTGCGCTTTTTGCGTGATAGTCGTTAAATAAATGTGAATTGAATAGATAAAAATTTCGTAAATTATGCCATGTCCTTTATAGACGTAGACACGCAGTGATGTTGGAACGAAGGATGTGCTAAGAGACAGTATTTATACTTACATGGACGGCCTTGTTGAATCTAAATGTTGCTAATTTGTCAGATCGTCCGTTGTTACCTCCATACTGGCCTCAGTTGACCCAAGAAAGCTCCTCAGTTGACCTTAAGTTCCCTAGTTGATTTACATGTAGTTGAAGCGTAGTTAAAATAATTACTAGTACAACCGTCGTTAAAATGATTATAATCGTTAAGGCGGTGCCACAATGTCAGCGATCTTTGATCTAAATAATTGTTGATTGCAACAGAGTTGGAAATCTACCGCATCACATTGAACCGTAGCCTCTATCAGGCTTCAGAAGCGGCTGGAAAGGGTCGAAATTGACCACATAGACAGATAACATGCCAGGAGAGTTGGTCCGCTAGAGGAAACAGTTTACCGCACCTGACCTGTACTCTTTTAGCGGACCAACTCTCCCGGTATGTCATCTGTATATTGACCAATTTCTACGTTCTACCCGCTTCTGAAGCCTGGTAGAGGCTAACTAAACGCCAGCATTTCCTTATATAATCACAGTATGATTTCCACGGTCGCGTTGTGCTATTTATGTCTTTAACCTTGACCAGAGGTCGTTCCATTGTCAGGGATAACGGAAGGATGACAACAAAGGGATGTGGGCGATTTGGAGCTAAATGTCACACGCAGCTCATTAAAAACTGAGTTATTTATCTAGGGTTTAGACTCATCCTCATAAACAAAGGAACACGTCATCGCGGGAGTCCATATAGGGGATAACAATCAGACAAAGGGGTTTAGAACAATAGAAAAGTTCTAAAAACTGCATTATGATGGAGAGAAGGCTGTGAAGTGCGAAAGGCTATGTAAATTGTCTTGTCATTTCGTAAACTGAAGGTATGGAAAGTCTATTATTATCTAAACAGCAGAGAGGAAGTAAAGTATATGATTAGCATAACTTAGCGGTAACTTTCCCTGTAATGAACTTGCAGCTTCCTCTGCTGGTATAATTTTGCGTGGCCGATCCTTAAGATATAAAGTTAAGTTATGGGATGCTACCGTTAATATGATGGTTCAGTAAGCTTCAAGTCGGATTTCGGTAAAACCTGTTTAGATAATTGCACGTCGAAAGACTCCCAAGGTCTAGCAAAGTACTTATCTATAGTATTCAAATCATACCTTTGCGTTCAATAATGTGTTGTTAATTTTCTAAATGCAGAAAGTGCCACATTGTTACTTTGCATCGCGTTACTTTGACTACAGTACCTTGTTTATGTTAATTATGAGTTCCCATGTTCCTAATGTCACTTCAGCCAGGTTTAAAGTGATCCTATAAGCTATCTATTCTTCCTAAGGACCTAATCCCGGCCCCAGACAAGCTCCCAGACTGAGCACACCTCTCCCACGGATTGTTGTTTCTGCTGTTGGTCTCTTTGTCGCCGAAGTGTGTCAAACACCGGTCACTTTAAGTTTTGCTCTCAAAGTGTCAAAGGCTTTGGGATCCCCATTTTCAACATATTACAATGTACTTCTTGTGTTACGTGTGTACCAGTTTCCCAAATCACAAATACGTTGCTACTTGTATTTCAAGTGGATATTTCGGAGATTTGAACTCATCATGAACAAACCTAGTCAGATTTGAAAAGCATCGTTTTAGGCCGCCGGCCATGAAATTTGGAAGATCGTTCAACGAATTTCATTTAAACGTTTTGTATATTTTGTTTTCAATCATAATGTTATATGGTGCATCTAATTCTGTGACTTTATCAGTTTATGATTGGGATAATCCCCATCATAAAGTCACAGAAATCCCATGTTGGGCAGCACAGTGGGTGTTGAGCGTCAAGTGCAAGAAGCCCTACATTTCAGCTCGGTATAAGAAGCCCTACATTTCAGCTTACCCCGTCTGTACACCACCATGAGTAGCTGTTGTGTTTGCCCGTATGGCGCGCCCATTGTGCCCGTGGTACGGCCGGGAGTTTGTTATGACTGCAGGCGGGCGGGGGGAGGCTGAGAGCCCGGGTGTTGTGGTTTCTGTAAGTGGGGGTGTAATCCTTACGGTAACAACCCAGGCCGACTACAGACTAACTGGGGCGTCTGCTGACCTAGTCTGCACCGCGCGACGAATATATAGGGCAAAAGCAAACCAAAAGGATGCATAATTCGTTAGAGAAATGAAAAAAAAATCGTTTGTAACATTCACTGAGCATTTCAACCCTCACTTGAAATTAAGATAATCTTGGGGGATCAGATTGAAACGAATTTGCATTTTTCCAACTTGAAAACTTTCAAGCTAAGTTTGTATTAAATCGCAGTATAAATCGCAGCATTCATCTAAGCGCCCTGACAACTTCGTCGTCCAACAGATTTACGACTGAAAATCTACGGAATGTTTTGGGTGTATCCTTCAAAATTCTGCTGTCTCATTCCGGAATAGTTACCGTTCAACGTTCTCCTATTTGTCACGTGACCGGGGAGCAGGTGTGACCGTTCGGGCGGAAAGCTGTCCCCGCCCAGGTCCGCCCATCCGGGCACAATTAGCACCAACGGTTCTACAAACTACAGCTACCGCTGTGTTTAGCCTCTGCCAGGCTTCGGGAGGCGACTGGAAAGAGTAGAAATCGGTCAAATAGAGATAACATGCCAGGGGAGTTGGTCCGCCAGGGAGAACAGTTTTCCGCACCCGAAACTGCGTTCACACTGCCGGCGCGCTGCCCCCAACAAAGGTTTCTCTTTTTGCTCGTGTCCAACAAGACCGACTTGTTCTTTTGCGTCTTTTTGCTGGATAGGTGCGTTCAGTGAAAGTGCGAGCAAGAGACCACATTAGAAGTTGGCGTACAGCTCTTAAATATCAGCTTTCTGAACTTTACGCTTCACTTGGAAAAAACGAACATCGTGCAATACAATTTGAAAACTAGCGACATTAACTCAAAGAAGGCAGCAATCAATTCACAAAGGAGTCTGAGAAATATCTTTCGAACTACTTTGTCCTTGACGAGTCCGTTTCTTACAAGAAATTCGCTCCTGCCATTCCAAAAATTCCCCTCCGTATTGTTCGGTTCCTCTCCTTATTTTGGACAAAAACAGACGCTTGTTGTAGAAAAACAGACCTTTAAAGAAACTGCCCGCGTCCGACACACCGCGCGCCCTTGACCCGATAACACCTGCTCCTGTGTACGTACCGTTCCGAGCGTTAGTCCCTTTCTTTCTGCTGTGTCAGAATCGCAAAACCTGCGAAACGTCTCGGTTCAAGGCATAACACCCCTGCTCTAAAATTCTGGAGAACAAGTTGCTTCAGGAACTGATAGGTTTCAGTCTCCATACACCAGGGCAAAGCCTAGCCTTATTAAAACGCGCTTAGATATAGCGATCCTGCAACTTACATGGCTCAGGAGAGCGGAGTTTGTGCTACATTTACTACGGGAATCTCTGGTCTTCTCAAGAATGTTGTTAGACGTACTGAAGATGTAGGTTTTCTTAAAGATTGGCCTAACGAACGACTACTTCGTCTTAAAAGGACAGTCGGCATCAGTATCTTTAAGACAACTTTGTTACAAGGCAGAAGACACCGTGAGATTGCAATAGATGATGAGGAGACAAAGACACCTGTAGTTTCCCCAAAGAAAAGTTAACGACTTAGAAAATGGTGAAACGAAGAAAAGGGCGGCCGATCTTCGCCCGTCGCGCGGACACAAAGCATCGCTGACGGTGGTCCACCTGCCGCTCTCAGCGGGCTAACCGTCCGAAACACATGTCAATCAAACGGACTGGTGAGTGACGATCCTGGTACGATAATCCCGCCACCGGCTTACAGCGAGTTTACTGGAACACTGTCTGTACGCGATGCTATCTGGTCTAATTGTCGGATTCTAAGCGCTAAACCGACTTGTGTACTTAAGAGGTATTTAAGAGTATTATAAATCTTGCTTTGACATAATTAGCTGGGATGGGGGAGTGATAAGTCGTTATAAGACACGCAAGTGTTTGCTTTACCTTGGCTATAGACGACACATGTTGGAGGTTTCTGAATCTGAATCGGCCGGGATTTGAACCCATGACGATGCGATCCAGAGACCTAACCACGAAAATCGCAGTAAGTTTCACGTGGTATGGGTGTCATCAAATTGTGACAATCAACGTAACAAAAGAGGACAGGCAACAAATTCACAGGGGACTGAAGCTTAGTCGTTGAAAAGACATAAGACCCAATCAAGATAAATGCAAAGATGGCTTAGTGCATATTCATTGTTTTCGATACCATTGCAACTATCAACTTTATCAGCACGACTTAGCTTGTTTATCAAGCATAAATGTACGATAAAGATCTTTCATTTACTAATGCCCAATCTGATGACGCAGATATGGGCGTTTTCGGTTCGTCTTGAATATTTTCTTGCACACATGACCGACTTTAATTAAAACTATTAAAATACTAACAAAGCAGGTCCAAAAACAGGAAAAATTTAGCTGAATTGGGAAAAGAACTGGCCAGTGGAGTTTGCCCACCATATAGTTCGTTTTCCCACGCTTCTGAGGACGAAATGGAACTCCAACGGTTGACCCACTATCCTGGCCAGTCAGATTCTCTTCTTGCCAACTCCCTGTAGGAAGGCCTGGTAGAGATAAGATAAAACTCGCACGCCTTAAACGAAGTACAGAAACGAGCGGAAAACGTTTGTAGCTTGTAGATTAGTCGGGAAACATGTTGTTAACACGTCCCCGCGTACTAATGATGTTCCCCCCACTTGAGCACCTGTTGTCAGAGCCTGGAGCGGGGCTTACAGCGAACAACGAGACTCAAACCTCCTCCGTACAAACTGTCAACTCGGTATGCACATTTCTCCAGGGAAAACGCGCAAACTGGAAACATTTTCCGATGACAGATCTGGGAGTCTTTTGTTTCCTTTATTGCACCTGCGTTATTGAAGAAAAGTCCAATGAATTGTCGTTAAGTTTTGGCTTACGTCGATGAAAGTTAGACATCCAGGTAATGGGATACACAAGAAAACTGTAACTCAAGCAACTGGGTAGGGTTTGAAAACTGTCAGATGTTTCAAGTAGCATCCACTACTTTTCGTCAGTGACTTTCTCGTTTTGCCATTTTCTGCGGCGTTTTATATGCATTTCTGCTGTTTTCTAGTCCCAACCAGACTAAGAACGCTGGCGGAAAAATAGTAAAATTTAGCCAAATTTTGAGCAAAAATTTGTCGCGGGAATTTGGGCACCATAAGCGTAAGGTTTCGTTTGTTACTACCGCAGGCTGATGACTCCCCTAGCCAACTATCCACCCTATTTTTGCCCTGAATTTTACTATCCACAACCCCATCGGAAGGCCTGGAGGAGGCTTGTGTATTTCTCTGCCCGCCTCTTCAAACAAGGAAATCCCTAACGCTATCAAGGCTATTAACCTAATCACTGTAACACTTTATAGCCGTTTAGCGAGTAGGTGCGAAGTGCACGCGCGGTAAACCAAGCGAACAAAAGCGCACCACCGGAGAGACCCACTGTGGGAGAGACCAAACGGAAAGACACACAAACCAATGTCATCAAACCAATAGCAGTGGCTAGAGACTATAAAAGGTCTACTAACCCAGTAGCAAAGAGGCCCATGCAATTTCTAGAAGGCTCAAATTTTGGGTTTGATATTTATTTCTTGTCCTTTTTCATTGGTTTTCGTAGTATGTGATGGGTTCTGAATGTCCTGAAAATTTCACCCGCCTCCGATATCAGGGAGGCATTTTCTCCTCAAACATGCTTCCCAGAGCATTCTTAGCCCCATAACAAGAAAATCAAGACTACTTTTTGTCCCAGAGTGTTTCTTATGTCCGGTTTTTATTATTTTCCCGCAGGAGGAGCCGACCCCGCACAAGGTGATTGAGAAGCGGCGGAGAGACCGCATCAACCAGCGGTTCGAGGAGCTGCGCGGACTGGTGCCCACCGCACGGAACTCACAGGTGGGGACAACATAATTCAGTTTCCCAAATCACAGTTCAGCACAATTTACAGTATATTTTTTACGCAATCCAAACGGGTGGCAAATGGTAACTGTCAGCGGTTCGAGGAGCTGCGCGGCCTGGTACTAGTACCCATCGCACGGAACTCACAGGTGCATATGGTAGAACATCGGCCAAACTTCGGCCCGAGGGCCTACAGTCGAAGTCTTAGCCTCTACCAGGCATCGAAAGCGGCTGGAAAGAAATTGGCCAAATAGACAGATAAAATGGGAAGGGGAGTTGTTCCGCTAGAGCGTGGTTTGCCGCTTCTGGCCCTTTCTACTGTTCCAGTCGCCTCCCGAAGCCTGTTAGAGGCTACCACAGACTAGGGAGAACAGGTACTTGCTCTTTCACAGTGTTGCCTTAACGCACGTTCTGATGCTGCTGTTTTTTGCCGATCAAGTGCGAGGTTTCCCCGACTTTTTGGCCGACTAAAACCACCTGTGCATAAAAAAGGGAGAAAGCTGTCTCGTGAAGACCTTGTGATTTTCCTTTTCTACACTCAGCCGCGTGTCGAAAAACTTCCCAACACAAACGTCTGTTTCGTCAGCAGGTGGGTTTTGTAGGGAAGTAGAGCACGTCTCATTCAGGACGGGATTGTGTAGCCGACTCTACCGTCCTCACAGGTGGTTACCGAGTTTGTGTAAGGCTTACAGAAACACGGACTAAACCCCACAAGACAAGCGGACCTGTTTTTATTGTGGAAAATCCGTGATCATCTGAATTATCAGAAATACTTCTGGAATGCATGGGCTAAGAGGAAAATGCAAAGAATTCCTTGAGTCAGCTGAAATTCCTATAAGTCAGCAGAAAGAAGCCATGATGTTAATGAATGTATTATTAGGCATAAGGAACTCATTTATGCGTAGGCGTTATGTTATTATGGGGATAACAGGCATTAAAAGATAGCATTTGCGAGGTTTAAAATTCCGAAGGAAGGGAGCGAGAAGTATAGCACAATTGTAGAGTTATTTATGATAATATTTTTGCAGATTTCTTCTGGTGAATGCATTTTTGGTGGGAGTGGGGTTTTAGCAACCTCTACCAGGCTTCGAGTAGCGACTGGAAAGAGTAGAAATTGGTCAAACAGAGAGATAACATGCCAGGGGAGTTGGTCTGCTAAATGAGTACATTTTGCCGCTCCCAAACTGTGCTTTTTAGCGGACTAACTCCCCTGGCATGTTATCTCTCTATTTGGCCAACTTCTACTCTTTCCAGCCGCTTCCCGAAGTTTGGTAGAGGCTTGGGTTTTAGTAACCCCTTCATCAACCAGCAAACAAGACAGATTGAAAATCGGACTGATACAGAAACTGAATCAGCTCCTTTCAGTGGAGTGAGTTTGCAGAGCCTTACCCAATGACAGTTGAACAAAGCCGGTGACACTGACTACCTTCTGACATTTGGGATAATCCCTGCGATGTTTACTTTGTAAGCAACAGGGGGGACAATGTCAAGCCTGTAAACTTGGCATCACTCTGGGCCAAGTCAAGTCAAACCATTGTAGCACATCACTGTGCCACTGACGAAACTGTTTTCGTGACAAGGTACAAAGTTTGGGCAATGATTGAAGGTTACAACTAAGCAAATGAAGTACTTGGAAAGCCAGTAGACTGTATGGCACAATCTCTTGCTGTGGGGGGCTGGTAGGCCCCCATCCCCAATACTGTGAGGCAAGTCGGCCAGAGTGTGACTTAGTCAGGCATATGAGAGTAGCAACCACAAACATACATCAGTGTTGCCCAAGAGGTATCCTGCAGATCCATCCGAATGTTTAAGTGACATAAGCACAGACCATGTCCAATAACAGGTAAATCTTATGTCAAGGCTGCTTACCAGGTATTCTCCCAGGGTCTTAAGGTTCCTTAAGTGTGGTTTGTACAGGTGAGAACTGTGATGTCCTTTCCCATGCTAGAACAGGGGTTAGACCATGGTTTCACTGACATTAGGCAGTAGGCATTTCCTCGGTCTCGTAAGACTGCAAAAGGAGGCTATGAAAATGACCAAAACAAACGGACCCTAGCTATATACCACCTCTCATTCTTAAGTATGTATTATGTACTACAAATGGAAAAAGCTACTGGAGCATCATGGACCACTAGGCTCAGAGGGGACTGAGTGAGTGATGTGTAAGAATATGTGTAGAAATTTATTTAGAACTTTAAATGATGTAAACTGTATCTTACATTCATATATTCTGTCTGACCCTTACCTCTCCCCCCATGCGGCCTCAGTGAAAAGCGGCCTGCAGACCGGTTTGCTATTCTCATGAGTAAAGAATGGTTCAAACAATTATCAAGAGCAATTGTTCAGAAGGAGGATGAGCAATGGTGTCTTCAAGAAGTTGATAAGGAACAGACATACAGACATAGGGAGGGTCAGTGGTGATGTCATGCAACAGGCATCAGCTACCAGCCTAATGAGGATGTCTGTCATTATGCTGTAATTCAGAGATGCATGGACGAAAACATGTGGATCATTCCAACAACGTACTGTCACGCTAGGGCGTAGAACAATTGTACGACATGAAATCTTTTGAACTCATGTCTTGGCTATCTCCCTGTCTGTCCATAGCTTTAAGTCATTCATGCAATTTATCAATTTTGCCACAAGCTTCAGCACCAAATTTGCCAAGTTTAAACCCTCCCGTAATCTTTTTCATCATTTTTTGAATCTAAAAGCTTAGAGTACCTCACGTCGAAACCACTACTGGCAGTGTCCCAAGTGTTCTCCTGGAACTTGGGATCTTTTGTTCTCCTGCCTTAGATTATCATACAACAACCTTGTTCAACCTGCTTACGTGTGCAGAAATTCTTCCCCTAACACACTATAGTAAATTGCTCTCATTGCTTTTGTACACTTTAAACCTACTCTGGAAAGAAGATTACAAATGTTAAGCAACATCTGAAAGAGCTAGATTTATGAGGCGTTATCCAAAGCTCGTTATTTTTGAGCCTGGATAATTAGAAGGCTGGACAGGGAGCAGTGAGCCAGAAGACATCGGTAATCCTGCAGAAAGGTTATCTTGGGATATCTTCGACTTTTCTTTTCAACCTTATGGCACAAGGCACTAATTTATGTGACCAATCGACGCCTTTTCAAGCAAATAATACTTAAGTGGAGGAAATTTTCAAAGGCAGTCAGATCATATTTCCATTCTGGGCCATAATTGCACAGAAAGAACATTGCCTGGCCTTGGTGAATGGTGGAACGTTACCTTTGTAAAAGATAAGCCACCCTTGAAAGATAGATGCAGGCATAAATACTCAAAAGATATGGGGAAGTTCTGGTAGAGTTTCTCAGCTAAGGGTCACAGTAGCCATGTCAAAAATAACAGCATAGCAGATAATGTCTATCAATTTTTGTAACACCTAATTAAATCCATTTTTTCTAACCCCAATGAACTGACTAAGACATTTTAAGATTCTTCCAACACTAATATATAATCTAAATGACCTTAGTCCACACAGACACTTACAATAAGACCCTTCAACATGCAGAAGGCTCATCAAAATTGCAGGACAACCGAGGACGAAGGTGAAAAGAAGCACAGTGGAACTGAGGGTATCTTTGTGTGACCAAGACTTTGATGTTGTGTTGTGCAACATTTCTGTGTGACAAAGAAAAAAAACAAATGAATAACTTGATATCTTTTTTCCTGGCAGGGTGTTAAGAACGACAAAGTCGACCTCCTCCACATGACGATAGAACACCTGAAGACACTGACAGGAAGAACCTCACCTGTGGACAGGGAAAATGGTGGGTAAACAACAAATTAAGCTCTCATCTCTTTTGGTTGGGAAAATACAGCATAGTTAGTACATTTAGACTACATGTGCCAGTTTGATTAAGTTTTAGACCACCAGACTGAGTCTAAGTTTCCAACATAGCATCATGGGAAATTGGAGATACCGACACATTCCTTCGCACTCCTTCACAGAATCATGAGAAAACAAATCGAGGTACATTGTGTAATTTGATTTTTGTAGTCAAGTCTGGATACATTTGTTGTTTCGAAATACTAGGATACCACCCAGAAGTTTGCTCATTGTGTGCAATGACCACAATAGAAGACTTCAGTATGCAGATCTCCCATCTTGGCCCATTCAGAAGGAAAATATGTCCTGTCTGAGTTGTCTTACATCTGCTCAAGTTTTCTTGAGGCTCCAGGGTGGGCCTTGAGACCTTTCATGGGTGCTGACAATAGTAAGGAAACTCGGCCAGCTAACCCCATTACTGATATACAATAGACATTAGCCTACAACTCAGTGTCAGGCCTGAACTCTTCAGGACACTAGTCATACCAGCGAGTAGAGTTTCCAGTATCCAGAATGATTGTACTGTCCAACCTGAACTAGTGACCACCTGGCCACTTTGACCACTTTTTGGTGGTTCCCCTACATAATTTTCTCCATTAGTATGTATACGTTAGCCAGCCTTTGATTATACAGTTGCTGGGGTCCCTGACACAGGGGTGGGCAGCAGTCGGCTGACACCATTGACACAAACGATAAGAATCATGTGTATAGTATCCACATACATAGTACAAATTGTATCAGTCCCCTAAGTGGTTTTCTTAGGCAGTTTTGACTGTGTGTGCAATACCAAATACCGGTAATCCTTAGTTCATAAACTAGCAGAAGGGTTTATCTGAAGACTTGATGCCTTCATTGACTCTCAGCCTTGAGAAATCCAGAGAAGGTGCAGAAGAATGAAGTTTACAGTGCATCGCCACAAAAGTGTAACAAATTGGTTGCTACGGCAACCACAATGAAGCTTCCTTGAGTTTCCCAGGGACAAGGTGAGGGTTTTCAGGGGGGACAACAATGGGCTTTCACTCTTATGGCGCTGAATGGAACTTGGAGAAAGGGAAAGTGACCTTTTGCCCCCTTTGTTCTCGATGTTGGTCAAGGAACTGCATGTAAAGAAAAAGGGAAAGTCCTTGGCCTGTCTGCTGTACAGTACCTTTGTGTCCAACTTGAAGATTCTTGACAGAAAGTCAACTTTACTTTCTGAGGGTGTTTGGAAGAAAGGCGTCAAGGCCAAGAAGAAGAGTAAATGCTAAAAGTCTTGGAACAAAGTTGGGACTCAAATTCGGCTCTTACATAATAATATACCAGCAGAGTCAGACAGTTGTTACAAGATTTCAGTTGCGGAAAATGCATGTTGCTTCATGAATGTAATTGTAACTGATGCATGCAACGTATTCAAAGGAAAGACTTGGGTGAAACACAATTCAATGTCACTGAAAGTTATTTCCAGGCAAAATGTAGAGTTACCTACATTTTATCATTTGTTAAGATAACAGCTTATATTTATATGACATGATTGAATGTATATTTAGCATGAAATGACTGATTTGGATTGTAAGTTTTCCAAAATTGATAAGTAGCTCATGCAATGACATGATGTGACATTCGTGGGAATATTGCTGATTTTTACCCTTGATAAGATGATACCATTCCAGACACAGTATTCAAATCTCGTATTACACAATATTTCAAATGGAGAAAGACCACCCTCTAGGTAGACCACAGTAACTTCTATTGCATCTTGCACCTGGCTGTCTTCAGAATGGCCTTGAAATAAAAACCATTGAAATTCTGTAAATTAAACTCATGCTTGGACCTTAGTTCTCATGATAAAGCAGACCATTTTTTCTCCTTTTAAACCTCCCAGATTTAAAGCCCCGATACAGATTACGGGCCAGTGTTAAAGGGATCCTTGCAAACGAGGTGCATAGCAGCACAGTGACAGAGACACATGGGGCGCGTTTAAGCCCTTTCAGCGCACCTCTCCGAGTTTAGGGTTTCAAAGCGCTCAGTGGAGCCAGAAAATGGCACGTTTCCCAGATGGATAGGTACTGCCCCGAGGTCAAGACCCTTTTGTGGAAAATTCAGGGTCTCCTTTAGCGGAGGCTGTATGCAGATGAGGGATCTGTCAGGAAAGTTCTCCACGGTTGGCTGGAGAAATGGCCGGACAAAGGCACACACGCTACGCCTGTCCTGGCTATTGTGGGCCGCTGTTATGGTCAGAACTGTGCTGGCAGCTGAGACTTCGAGTGAGAGGAGTGAAAGGAGGCAGAACCAAGTCCATTGACCGGAGCATTCCGACACACGCTGGCTTTTTGGCAAATTTCACCACTAGCTGATCTTTTCCTGGATTGGTGAAGTCCTGTGAGATTTCGATCAGTGTCATATTTTTTAAAAATCTTAAAAAACACATTGCTAGTGCAATAAACTGTAGTGTACTGGAAGTGGTTAGCAATCCTGCTTTTGGACCATAAGGCCAGTCCTCAGTCCATAATTTGTATGCTACTGGCAGAAGTTACAATCCTTAAGAACAAAGTGATAACCACACACTGAGCATGTTAAAGAACCCACCACACTGTCTTCTAAGAAAAGAGCTCTAATAGTATGCAACAGTCCAAACCCTCACACAGCTCGCACTTGAGTACTCCAAGTACAAAAATGTTGTGTTATTAATTTGGCTGCTTTTTTTTTTCAAATTTCTCCAATATTCAAAAGCTAATGTAACACAGAAGTAGCAGTTTTACCATTGATGATGTACATGAGCATTTTTGTCAGACTTGTGGACTTTTGCCTGTAAAAGAGATGCAAAACAGGAGTCTCCATTGCCTCTGCCTGACTGCTAAAATGTACATCTGCTCTGAGCTGCATTCAGGCCCAAGGTGTTCAGAGGAACAATAGGCTGGGATGGAGAATGTAAATTGTGTGTAGACTGGCACAACACAACAATGGGCAGTAGGAATAATAACAGCCTTTTGTCCCAGAAATCACCCATTCCTCTACCCTTACACACCCACAGTGGGAACAACATAAAATCTGCAGAAACTTCAAAAGGAAAGTAGAGACAGGATGTTATTCAGAAGCACTGATGTGGAAGAGAGTTGCTCTTTTTGATAAAAGAAATTTATGACTTTTAATTAAACTTGGGAGAACTTTAGATCTGGATGCCATTGAAAGTTATGTAACCTTAAGAAATTAATATATCTGAATATACTGAAGTTGCAGTTGGACTATGAAGTGTTTAAAGTCAAATATTTACTTCCACTATCCACAACTTGTTAGTAGGTAGCATAATCATTATAAAGTTTGTATTTAATGTGAAAGCCTGTCGCATTTTTAAGTGAAAAATTTTCATCAAATGAAACGTTTTCACAAGTTTCCCCAAAGGTTTCAAGAAAATTTTAGAAGTCAAGTCCTTCTCTCAAGTACTGTCCTAAAGCATGCACCCAACAACAAGAAGAACATTATGCACAGTCACGCACTTTCACTAAAAGCAATTTCCAGCATTCAAAACTACCACCATACTGTTTACAGTAACGTGGAAAACACTGTTTTTAAGTGTAAATCTGTCCGGAACCCTGATGACACCTTAATTAAACTGAAGACAGCAGTGTGCGCCCGTCTCTGTAATTTGCTCCTGGCACGAAAGGGCTGAATGGCAATGACCGTGTAGACTTAAGCTGAAGGAACAGACTTCAGATATGACATTACCTAGGTATTGAGTCCTTTTTTTCCTTTATGAGATAAATAAACTGCTTCCAAGAACTTTAGGGCTAACCTGCTGCAGTTGTGATCAGCCCAAACCATGCCTCTGGCTATACTGATCATATATTAGCTACCTTCAAGTTGATATCCCTACATTTCAAGTGCTAACCCCTCTTCATTCATATTGGTAAAAACCATATACAATCAAACAAACAAAAATCTGACATGATTTGTGACGATGTTAACATTTGAAGGTGACTAAGAGCAAAGAATTGAGCAAAAAGGGATGAGAGTTCCATTTGAATCCAAGATTACCTTGAAATCCTTGAAGTAGAAAGTGACCAATGACACAGCCTAATATAAGCCTTAGATGTTATCATTCCTGAGACTGGAAGAATGAGAGAGTTAAGATGTTTCTTAAGTTGTTCAAAGAGGTTTCTTCCACTCCACGTAACTCTGACATAACCAGGCTGAGATGACTCAGCAACTCATGGACTGGAAGGAAGAGGATTTTTTACCATATCATCATCTGTACTTACCAAGAGACACTGGTTTCAACTCAACAATAAGCACAGCTCTGTATTACCTACTACTGGTACCTATCAAATACTTAACTACAGATGGCAGGATTGCACGAAATCGGATCAATTTTCTGAAATAAAAATGTACCAAGGGCAAAGAAATTCAGTGTGAAGCCTTATAATTTACACTTTGGGACAAAAACTTCTACCCCCTTCAATGAAGCTGTGCCTCCATTCTCTGCCCCTCTGTTCCGTTTCAAACTGCCTTAAAAGTACCCTCATTGCAGACATAGAGTAGCAGGGCCATCATTCTGACATACATGTGCTTTGAAATACCGGTAATGTCTCAGGAATTAGCTATGCAGGCTTAGATGTAACATGCTATCTGAAATGTTATGTAACCAGAAAGTTTGTGTGTTGTGTAAAAGGGCACGTATCCAGGGTATGACTCATCCTGGTAATGAAAAGGAGCAATTATATTAAGACAAGATAACTGTTATCTGCACAGTCATTGACATAAGGACATTCAATCCCTATTCCTGGAATTTGTCCACGTTTTCAAGAGTACCAGTCCAGTAATTATTACAAAGCACCTGATTACGGCACAACAGATGTATTGCTGTGATCAGTGGTAGTACATATACCAGCATCATGAGTCATGAGCCAATGAATGAATGAGTGAATGAATGACTGGTTTATTTGATCAACGTGATCCTTAAAAAGG